GAGGGCATTTGGGGCTGGGGAGGAGGCACGGCCCAAATTTGTCTACAGTCCCTAATTTTGTAGCAAGAGGAGCGAACGGGGGCACCCTCGCCCCACCAGTTGGGTGCTAATTTGTTCTCGGCAAGCGACTGTAACCTCCCGGGGAATGCGAACAACTCCTTGCTCTCCTCCCCTGCCGGGAAACCAGCTGTGCAGATTGCAGCCAGGAGGCTGACGGTGTCCCCTGAAGCGTGTTAGCCGTCATGGGAAAACACCCAGCTGAGATTTGTCCGATCGGCCCTTCAAGGACTGGCTGAAAATCTTCCAACTGAGCCAAATTGCTTGGCCAGTGCAAACCCAGACCTTGCCTGACTCTCTCTGTCCAGCCGTGTCTCGGCCCCGCCACCTCTATCCAAAACATAGAGCGAACCCGATGGGCGTTCACTGGAGGCAACTCCTAGCCACGTCTGGTTTGGTGGCTCTAAGCAATAAACCCGCTCTGTCTGCCAAGGATGTTGGCCCCTTAGGCACTTGGGCTGTTGCCAGTTTAAAACCATACATGAACATAAATTGGAGGAAAATTTAATTTGAAACCCTGCCTTAATTGGGAGTGTTTTGTCCCTAGACCTTTGCCTGCTGGTATTTTATGGGCTGCTGAGTACTAAACAACTCATTGCCAGTAACATTGCATGTTCATAGATGAAAATTTTTAAAAAAACAATTAAAAAAAAAAATGTACCCAGTTAAGAAATTATGGCAGTGTTGCAATGTTACGTAAAACTAGCCATTCTGTAGGAGAATGATGGATTTTGGAACTGATTAAAGTTTAACATTTAATTGCTCCTCATGTAACATTACTCTGCTTCAGAAATGTTTTGTATTTTGATATAAATAAACATTTGTTAAAAAATAAACCGGAGGCATGCGGCATTTGTTTTACTTTCTGCCTGTCGTGACTCGTGTTATGGACACTCGTGAAGTCTTGCCTTCGGGGTCAGATGTGCTTGTGAAATCCCACCAGTATCCTTGTGGAGATCTCTGTCTGGGACTCCTGGGGTTACCCCATCACTGTGCCTGGAGGACTGAGGGCTTCAGGATGGAGAATTCCTGCTGTGAGCACATAGGTTCCCCCTCACTGAGTAGCCACACCAGTGGAGGAGGTCGGGCTGGTGAGAGATTCCCAACACGTTGCCAACACCATGCCATTGTTACTTTGCGTCATGTTTGAGTGTGATGCTGGGTGAAGACGAGTGGCTGTTCCCTGATTTCTGTGCGACTGCTGTCCAGGTGTGGCAGATCCTGATTTGCTGGCCTTGTTGCCATTGCAGTGCCAGGAGCAGATGATGCCACGTGGTGCACGAAAAGAAAAGGTTCAGTGCCTGGATGTACGAAGCTGGTCCCGTTCCTTTCCTGCTGCAGACCCCTAGTCTAGAGTGGGGACGGTCAAGGTCCCATGTGTGTCCCCTGTGCTGAAGTGCCCTTTGAAGTGCAGCAGCCCCTGGAAACAAAGGTACAGTTTGGCAGGTCTTCAGGCAGCAATGATCCTATCTTGCTGACTTGCACGTGCTCCCAGACCAGGCCTGGAGTGGTGCCGGGGCCATATGAAAACCGGCCTGTCCTCCAGGTGGCAGGGGCTGTGCAGAACTTGGCTCCTTTTGAAAGTCGCTCTTCGCGTGGCTGCTGAAGATGAAATAAGTCAGCCACACCACTGTTGGACTTAATAGCAGTCCCAGTGCCAGCCTCAGTTGTGTTAGGACAGCAGTAGTTGCTTCTTGCCCGTGTCTCAAATACAGCTTTTAAAAAAAGATACTGGAATTTTAGAGTTGAGCAGTTTTTTATCTGCAAGTACCACCTGTGTCAATGGTTATGAAAGAAGAGATTGTTTCCTTTAATTGCCCCTAGAATTTAGAGGACTGCCTAATTTGCAGTTAACCTGGCACCCCGAGGATCTTTCCAAACTCTACTGCAATGACTTTACCTCTCAGGTGGCCCACAGCAGCTGGCTAGCAATGCCCAGCTATCCTGCACAATGCTTTAGGACAGCAAGTGAAAAATCCCATAGAAACCCCAGCAAAGATTTGGAGGAGGCGAGTGCAGTGACACTGTATAGGGGAGCTCAGAAGCGTGCCAGCTAGACTGAAACTGGGAACTGAGAAAGAAAATGATGTGTAAAGTAGTATGGGAGTCCTTATGAAACAGAGCCCCTGGCTATTGAGCTTAGAGTAAAGACAGCACCTCTAGCAGCCCCTGGCACCCCGCTGCAACTCGGGAGGAAGTGGGCCAGGCACAAGTGGGCAAGATGGCACTTGCTGCAGTCCACCCCGCAACAGTGCCACTGACTGGGAGCGGCACCAAAATACAGGCTCTCCCAGGGCACCATTTTCCCTACAGCCGGCTTTGTGCACGGGCCCCCTGGGCTGAGCTACAAGTGAAATACAGGAAACGTGCATGCTCAGGGGGCGTTTCATGTAGAGGTGTGCAAAGCAGGCCCTATTTGATCCGGATTTGGCCCAAATCGGGCATAGTGATTAGATTCATTGATTCAGATCACTGTCCCTGATTCCATTCGGCCAAACCTGAAGATTTGGTGCCGATTCAGAGAATCGGTGATTTGGCCATAGACGCGGCTTGAAAAGCTTTTTGTATAAACTTTCATGATCCCAAAGCTGTGCAAAGAGAACCAGGAGACCTGTGTTCAGTCTCCAGCTGGTCAGTGAGTGCTGCAGGCCCTTGGGCTGTTGTCTTCCACTTCCAGAATGAAAGGGGTTGCCAAATGGGGGCTAACACTTCCAACCTTGTCAGACTGGATGGTTTTTCCAAACAGGTGCCCCGTGTGCCAGTGAAATTCAGTTTGGGCTCAGGATCCTTTGAATACCAGGTTGGTGCTCCGACGCTACCTATGGCGGTTTCCATGTCCCCTAGGCACAGGCTCATGAGTGATGGGCTTAAATTGTAATGAGGGAGATTCAGGTTAGACATCGGGGAAATATTTCTGTCTACAGTGACAGCTAAGCACTGGAACAGGTGACTTAGGGGAGCCGCTGAGCATCCAGCACAGGAGATTGTTTTAACAATAATTTAGAGAAGTGCCAGGAATGGTTTAGACACGGTTGCTCCTTTCTTGGGGGATGGACTAGGTGACCTCTCAAGACCGCTCCCAAGAGTCATCACAGTGAGGGGCACATCCAGGAAAAGGCCCAGTCGTTCCCAACGCCAGAAAGGCGGATTCCTGCTGTGAACGCCCGGGCTCCCCCTCCCTGCCTGGCCACGCCAGTGGAGGAGACGGGCTGGTGAGATACTTTGTGCCATTGTTACTTCATCGGCGGTTGCTGCGGGTTGGAGCCACGTGATGCAACAAAGCTGCCCTGACACCAGAGTTCTCACTGCCGCGGCCACCGGTTCCCAGGGGAGAGGTGGCCTGAGGGCGGGTTCGCCTCCTGGGGGAGGGTGCGCTAGGATGATTATTTCCTTGTGGACCACATATATCGTGGCCCGTAAAGTAGCTGGCTTCCCGCTCCCAGCCTGCAAGACTCAGGTAAAAAGGTGGAGGAGTATAGTCTGCTTGTGTTGCAGGGCCCTGGTGGGGGAGACCGGGGGTAAAAGCCAGACTCACCCCGTCTCGCTTTTCTCAGGGTACTGAAGTGATGGAGATGGAGACGGTGTCTGTGCTGGAGCACTGGCTGAGGAAGGTGAGGAGAGCCTCAGCAAGTCACCCGTCTGCAGTGAGGCTGCCAAAGCCCATGAAAGCTGGCCATCGCCTGGATGCTGAATCGGGGACAGGCCTTTAATGCTCAGATACCAAGACGCTAGCAGAGGGGAGCCTGTTACAATGTTTGAGTGCCAGGAAGCCAAGCAGGAGAGGCCCCTCTGTGTGGTGCTTGGGCCCTTAGATGCTCGTGTTGGGGGAGGGTGGAATGAGACCAAGATTTAGCAGGCATTTATCCGAGGGGCCCTTGGGTGAAGGCTTGAGCCCAACCTGTTCGTTAGAAGGGAAGGTAACTGGATGTAATGCCAAGGTGTCTGGTGGGCACTGAGGAGGGGCAGGTCGTAAGGCCCGGGCTCTTGGCCAACGACGGGAAGGTGTAACCATCTTGCTCAGCATCACATTGGTGACTACTCTTTACTATGCGAAAGATGGTTGTGGCAGAAAAATGCCCCATCCTGGGCTAATGCAGTGCAGGGGCTGGGACTACAGCCTTTAATGCAATGAAGGATCAAACTCTCCAGGGCAACCAGCTGAATGGTAGCCAGGAAAGGCTTGTGCATGGTCCTAATCTGGCCAGTCGCACTGCTTTATGGTACCAAGCTAGGATGGGACCTGGCAGTAAGCAGGGGGCTCCGATTCCAGTCTCAGGCTCTGGGAGTGCACTTGCCATGGGGGTCTCTCACCTACACAGTGGGAGTGTGTGCATGTGTAGTTGTGTGCCTAAACTTAATGCGCCTTTGTTTAAGGTGCATTAAGGCCATTTAGGTGCACGTCTACACACAGACACGCTAATGCGCATTAAGGTACATTAAATTTAGACTCGCGTAGCTAAGTCACATTAGCCCACGTGTAGCCATGCTAATGCACATGAATGCAGCGGGTGTTCCTTGATGTGTTAATGCACATTAACCATCTACACATGGGTTAATGCGATTTAGCTAATCGTGCCTAAATGTGGTACTTGTATCAAATTTTGGTGGGATTAGCCTAAAATCACCATTTTTAAGGTGCATTCAGGGCGCACACGTTTGGATATGCTCCCTGAATGTGCCTTAAGAATGGCGATTTTAGGCTAATCCCGCTATGAAAGGGCCACGTGGAGCCAAGCCCAGCCTATCCTAGGCTCTGACCCCCTTGGTGAGTTGTGGGCCGAGTGGCCCAGAAAGGGCATGGCTGGTTTTGCTTCCCTTTCAGATCGAAGAAGAAGCTTCCAAGATCTTTAAGCAGAAATTGGAAGGCAAAGCAGAAACCAGGTCAGAAACCAGGTCAGAAAACGGGACAGAAAACAGGATGGGCCCTGCTGATACAGGAACGACCAGGTCACAGGTATTTCCATTCTGGGACGGATATAAGGGCCAGATCTTCACAAGTGTCCCCTTTGCACCCCCCTCCCCAGCCACGCTCAGCAGGATGTTTGTGCGCTGTACTCTTTGGGAAACCTGGCCCTTGGCAGTCGGATTGCACTCGTCTTGGCTCTAGGTCTAAGGGGCTAAGCAGTCATCTTTCTGCAAGGGGACAGGCTGATCGGACTGGGCCAGGAAGGACTAGCCTCTCTGCCTGGGCAGCTTTATCTCAAAGTAGCTCGTTGTATTCTGTTTCCCTCCCATCTTCTGAAGCATCCCATAGCAGGATGCCTGTTGCACGTGAAGCGAAAGGCTCCCATTGACTTTAGTAGCTCTTCCTCAGGCCTTTAGAGACACAAGGGGCAAAGAAATGGCTTTTCTTGCACATAAAGCGCCAGTGGCTTTACATTCCCATGTGTAATACCAGGCTGTTGGAGCAGAGGTTTGGCACCTCCTGTGCTCCAGAGCATGATCCATGCAGTCTTGGCAAGCAGCTTCTGAGTAACTGGAATATGAAAGCAGCACAGAAGGGTGCAGCGAGCCTCCCGTGAAAGTAGGCTGTAAAGCAGGCTGTCTGTCTGGTGAAGACTGAGCTGAGTTTCGTCCCAGTTCCCATCAGGCCGAGATGCTGCTGGCAGTAACTGGGTTTGCTTTACCCTCTTGCTCTTAGATGGTTCAAGTCTCTAACACCAGACTGCCGGAGTTGGCGGCCTCTAACCAGTCTCTTTCGGAGGGGAGAACAAAGGTCCAGCTCATACGATGGAGGTAAAGTCCTTGTACTCTTTGGCCTGGCTCATGAGGTGCCGTGCTGGAGTCAAGCTCCCCCAGGGGAGCAAGGGAGGGCAAAGAGAAGGTAATGAGTTTCATTGGGAGCTGAATGGGCTTGGGACTGGACCAAAGGACTTGCTCCTCCAACGGTGCATATCAGCACCACGAGCTTGATGGGGCTGTGCCGATTTCCACTGCTTAAGGATCATGCCCAATGCAGGCAGTGGCTCATCACAGAGCTCAGGAGCTTAACTTCTCCCTTATAACTCTCCCTGTATTAGGACAGAGAGAGGGAGAAGCCAGGACCTTCCATAGCATGAAGCAGTCATGCCCGCTCAGTCATTACACAGCAACTCAGGCCTCCTGGGCTCTAGCAGGACTTCCATCAGGCTTTAACACGACGCTGAGGAGTCTGCTTATTTTGGAGGTCACAGACTGACTCTTGGGTTGTTCCTAGGTTAGTGCCTTGTCCTGCCATTGGGGCGGTACCTCGGTTACAGACTGAAGGGTTCATGTAAGGACTGGGGATCTTCCCGGTGCTGGTCTGGAGTGGAATGGTTGGCCGCTTCTTGGCAATTGAGCAACAATTGTCAAGAAGCGTGTCCGACTAGACGCCTGCTGTCCTTGCAGCCGCACCCAGGTCTATCGTGTCTCGAGTGACGTGAGAGAGGAAGCCATGCAAGAGCGGCTGGATCAAATCCGGAACAGGTGAGCTGCTTCCAACAGGGCCCTGCCATGCCTACCAGGTTCAGAAGGCGAAAGGCTGATGTGTTTTGATTCAACTGAGGTCAAGTCCCAAAGGGGCTGGTTCTGGATACCACCATGGGGAGTCCCCATCCCTGCCCCAAAGAGCTTGTGGTCTTAGCACAGAGCACCCTGCCCTTAACCTGTTGTTAGGGTGAACAGCCCCACTGGGTGCTGGCCAAGCCAAAGGCCGGGGGCCTACAATGAGAAGGCAGAGACTCCAGGTAGGATCCAGCAAAGGCAGTACCTTAGCAGGGGGATAACCTGGGTGCTTTTGCTACTTCCAGCTGTGCCTGCTCTTGGAAATGTAATCTGAGGCCCCTAACTGAGTGATTTTTCCAGTGGAAGAGAGATCCCAGTGCCTTAGCTGACCAGTCTTCACTGGCTAGGGATGAGCCCAACCAAGATCAACCCTCTGCTAGCTCAGGTGTTCTCCCGGCTGGGTGTTCAACCTGCCTTCCCGGC